AACGAGCCTGACCACCCGATCCCGTTAGTCGCCTCTTAAGACAAGCATGGATTACTGAAGGTTCATTCTAACCCGGACCTTCACGGGTCACGTCAGATAAGAACGATACAAGGGCGATTCGTAGGGTTTTTTCCCCCGACTTTCAACATGCTGGTAGGGAAACACCGAATTCCTCTCTTCAAACACTTTTCTAAATTCAAGAACTTTTTAAAACATTATATAAAACGTGATATTTATAGACTATTCATTGAACTTGTACAAATTTGACAATGTAGTTCAGTTCTTACGAACTAGATGATACAATTTGAAATCACCGTTATAAAAATTATATAAAAACTTAGTTGAACTTTGATAATCTGTTGAATGTTTTGGGTGTTAAAATTGAAAAAACATATTGTCAAATGATGGAAAAAGAAGATCCGGTTTAACTTTGAAAATCTGTCAAATGTTTATTATGTCATATTTGAGTATATTTCTAAATGAGGGATTAACATCTGTGTTGATGGTGTTTTTGATTGGTGTCAACAGATATCCCCACACTGAGCCTGGAATTTGCAGTTGATGTTTCTCCGCGGAGGATACTCGATATTCCAGTCAGTGCTTGTTATCGTCAAACAGACATCATCTCCTCAGCTAGTGCGTGTCCCGAGGCCCGTGACACGGGTCTACGTTCATATTGATATATCAACTAGACCTGAATGGATTCATCACCCCCTCCGCGGTCTGCCCTGGAGCCAGGGGGAAAGGTGTCGATTGGGGATTTTACAACCATACACACGTTGACCCACTTCGCGACGAGAATGAATCCGAGATTACTATTACATATCTGCGGGGCAAGTCGAATAAGATACGAAAATCTTTATTGAACTTTGAAGAATGATACGACTATTTTGTGTACCGTTGCCACCATCTCGATCATCAAGTCTGAAATGTTTGGACATTGGTCTAAATGTACTGTTAAGTGGTAAAAGTGTCTAAAGATCACCATTTATTCCGTTACTTGTATTTCATTTAACGGCTTCTGGCTGTAGGCTCTACATGGCATATTGGAATCGAACGTGGACGTGGTGCGAGGGCTAGCAAACAGAGATCCATATCCCACCACCTTGTGTTAAGGAAACGATCAGTTGATATTGCTCATAATGCGTGGGTGTGCGCGTGCATGCGTGCGTGTATATGCGTGTGTGGGGATGTGTATTTATACGTGTGTGCAGTGTGCGAAATAGCCACTGGCCCGCTAGCCCGTGGCTAGTAAATATCCAGTCGGGCCAGTAAATCTAAACAAATCACTGGCCCGATAGACTAGTGAATGTTCATGGGGTCATTTTGTAAATATAACACTCTCTCCGACTTGTTAAGTTATATTACATTTTTAAATCATGCAAGATTGTGGCCTTATAAAAATGTTCATCATATCAGCAGCCTAATGACGAAATGTTATTCTCATCTATTTTGGTAATCTTTTGCTTAGTTTCTCCATCCAAATTTCGGGCTAGTGAATTATTTTGTGGGCTGGTAACTTTCAGGCATAGCTAGCCCGATTGGCTTGCAAAAGGAAACTATTTTGCACATTGCGTGTGTGTAGAGTGAGTGAATGAGTTTAGTTTTACGCCGCACTCAGCAATATTCTAGCTATATGGCGGCGGTCTGTAAATAATCCAGTCTGGACCAGACAATCTAGTGATCAACAGTATGATCGTCGATCTGCGCAATTGGGAACCGATGACATGTGTCAACCAAGTCAGCGAGCCTGACCACCCGATCCCGTTAGTCACCTCTTACGACAAGCATAGTCGCCTTTTGTGGCAAGCATGGGTTGGTTGCTGAAGACCTATTCTTCACGGATCTTCACGGGTCGTGTGTGTAGAGGGGCTGGTGGAAAGAACAACACAAACATAACATTACTTCAGTATACAAAAAGTAAAAATGTTCAATGGCCATGCTAAATATAGAAACCTGTAACACGAACTGAACGTGTCGCTTGTCACTGAACAAACTCCATGTTTGTGGTTGCTATAGTCACCGATACTGCGCATGTCTGTTGGGAGTACATCCGTTGTTCAAAACTTGCTGAGTGTGCGTTTTTGATCGAGGACAAGCATAGTGTTTAAGCTGTTGTGACTTGACAGCCACGGTATTCATGTACGACCAGATTAAATTGGCGATTGGATGGCAAAAGGGTTTACTACAAGTGGAGAGAATATCGCCCATTTATTTTCATATCTTGTAAATGTTACCAAACAACTACAACATATCAAGTGTGAACAAAATCTACATCACAAACCGTACAGTAATCTTCCATTATCCAATGTATTAAGTCCAGTGCAATATCTACCTTGGACCTATTCGTTGGTGCAGCTTTGTTCAGGAAGTGACGTCACAATCCTCATTTCTCTTCTCATCACCTTTGTACATTTTGACTGTTGTTTCACGATGCGCTCACCAATATTTCAGCTATATACCCATGTGCGAATCGAACCCAGGATTTCGGCGTGACGAGCGAACGCTTTAACCACTTGGCTACCCACAGCCCTCTGATGTCAATAACCAAAGACGCAACCTATTGAAAAAGTTTCAAACTCTTTTGACATCGATCAATCAGCTGCATGGTAGCAATCAACGAGCTTTTCTGGTTTATGAAAAAAAACGGAAAGCCGGATTCTTGGGTTTAAACTGTGAAACAAAAGTCATCACTCCAGATCCCGTTGGCGCAATTATTAACTCACATAAATCAAAATATACTGCAGATAACATTTAACGACCACCAATATGGGAAGAACAGCTTCGCGACGATCACGGAGACCTATATCACGACACCGTTTTCCGTTATCGCCAAGGGCTGGCTTATCAAGGCGACCAGACTCGACTACAGCGGCGGGCTCATCTCCTTCACAAAATGAGTACGGAATGACTATTTGCCGATTGATTTCACGCATTCAAAACCAAGTCTCTCGGCTAACGTTTGGGTGTTTGTGCTTGAATGCCGGGACATTTCTATCTGAGAAGGCATCACATCCTATTTTCCACCCTCGCGAGTTCTTTGAAAGGAGACAGTGTGTTTGTCATCACAGCTGGTCGATACGAGATATTGGGACGAGTCGCAAGTGTCACAAATTGTTCTAAGATGAGCTATATAAAAGCGTGGCTGGCACACCGTCTAATTCGTCATCCCTGGCGTTGAATTAAAGTGCGGCCATAAACGTGGATCTTCATAACGGTGACAGCAGTTATAGTTGCGAACAGAGACTACTTCTTTTACCCGTCAAACTGTTTGCTGTTTTGTAAGAGTTATTGGGAAAAAGTGAGTTTTTGTTTTTTGGAGCATGTGCGCGTTATTGGGACGTGTACTTTGTTATAAAACGTTACATATATCATCGTCAGTTATTGATAAACAGGTTATTAATAGCTTGAATTAGTTGTGTGACTTATTGCAGCAAATCACTACGGGTTATTGATAGGGAGCGGGGGACACCAGAAATGGGCTTCACACATTGTGCCCATGTGGGGAATCGACCCCGGGTCTTCGGCGTGACGAGCGAACGCTTTAACCACTAGGCTACCCCACCGCCCCGTTGTTGATATGGGTGAATGAGTTGTGTTTTGTGCCGCATGTCAAATCAGGCCTGGATTTCTCGAAACAAACTTAAGTTTTTACTCAAATCTCAAACTGAGTTTCACAATTTGAAACAGCTGAACTCAACTGCATTTTCAAAATATAAAAGTCCAAACAACTTAAGTAATCTACCCACCAAACTCAAATTGTCTTCTATAGTTTGAGTTTAATATCAATTTAAGTTCATTCTGTGGAATGCATTTTCCTGCGTTTTCTCAGATTTGAGTAAAAACTCGAACTTAAGTCAAACTCTGAAGTTTGTTTCGAGAAATCGGGGCCAGGACGTGTATGGAAGGATTGAGCTCAGTTGTGTGTTAAAACGCATGTCAAATCAGGATTTTATAGAAGGACTGGGTGAGTTGTGGGTTGTGTTGCTTACCAAATCAAGATATGTATGGGATGACTACGTGAATTGTCTTTTATGGCGCATACCAAATCAAGATACTCATGGACTGAATGGGTGAAATGTGTTTTGTGCCGCATATCAAATCGTGTTATTTATAGAATGAATGGGTGAGTTGTGTTTTGTGCCGCATATCAAATCGTGTTATTTATAGAATGAATGGGTGAGTTGTGTTTTGTGCCGCATATCAAATCGTGTTATTTATAGAAGGAATGGGTGAGTTGTTTTGTGCCGCATATCAAATCGTGTTATTTATAGAATGAATGGGTGAGTTGTGTTTTGTGCCGCATATCAAATCGTGTTATTTATAGAAGGAATGAGTGAATTGTGTTTTGTGCCGCATATCAAATCGTGTTATTTATAGAAGGAATGAGTGAATTGTGTTCTTGCCGCAAGTCAAATAAGGATATTTATTGAATCAATGAATGAATTGTGTGTTGTGCCGCAAGAAAAATAAGGATATTTTTGAAGGAACCAATAACATGTGTTTTGTACAGTATATAGGCTGTATCACGGAGTGGCACCTGGACAACCCAAAGAGATACAGGTATTTGACGTTGAAACACTAGGTGTGCCCGGTTCTCAGAAGTGACGAGCGAACACTTTAACCACTAGACTACCTCACCGACCCTCTTGTTCAGCATCCCAAGGACATTTTAACAAGATAGCATAGGACGAGTGGCTTTTGTGAAAGCCAATTTGTCTTAAACATAATCGTCTACTCGGTACTGTATCAACAAGTTGTTGGTCGTGTACACAATACAACGTGAGGTGAAATTCAATATATAGTCTGTTTAATTTCATTTGAGACCGATGAATTGCTCACTAACACAAAATCTAATTATTGCAGCAAAACCAAATTTTGCACAGTCACATGAAATCGACAGACCAACTCAGATGATTTGTCTCATAATTTTGGACACCCGAATAAAAAAGTTGTTTAACGAACGATCATTATTTTGTTGTCACTTACCGCCATTTTCCACGATGGGCGACCACTTGCTGGTAGAACAGCCAGGTAATCAACAAGCGTATGTAGTGAAATATCAATTTCATACGTGCAACTTGCACACCTGGCTCTTCTACCAGAAAGCGGTCCCCCTCGTAAATGATATCGGTAAGTGACAACAAAGTAATGATCGTTTGTTAAACAACTTTTATATTCGGGTGTACTCGATCATGCTACAATCAGAGTTGGTCTGTCGATTTCATGCGACTGTGCAAAATTTGGTTTTGTTGCAATTATAAATTTTGTGTTAGTGAGCAATTCATCGGTCTCAAATGAATGAGTGAGTGAGTTAGGTTTTACGCCGCTTTCAGCAGTATTCCAGCAATATCACGGCGGGGGACACCAGAAATGTGCCCATGTGGGAAATCGAACCCGGGTCTTCAGCGTGACGAGCGAACGCTTTAACCACTAGGCTACCCCACCGTCCCCGTCTCAAATGAAATCAAACGGACTGTAGTGTGCGTGACTGTCTGTACTTTTCTGAATGTATGGCGGTAATTATTTTGAGCCAGCCCAATGACATACCATGCTACAGTTAAACATGGATACTACAATCAAACATCGTGACTGCAAGCCGACCAGTTCTTGTTTCACCCACAGAAACAACCTTCCAGGCCGGGTAACAACAAGTAGCATATTTTGGTACACCGCGACCATGATAGAACTAAGACCAGGTAGACGCTCTATCCACTACAACACAGAGACGGTAGATCAGTAGCAAGATTGATCAGTCAGAAATCCAAATCTGTATCGTTACTATCTATGAATTTACTTGTTGTTTAACGTCAAACTAAGCATTATTCCATCTGTCAATGTAAACATAAGTCTTGACCGCACGAACCGATGGTTGATACGATGAGCACTGCTCCAATCCTTCAATGGCACGTGTTATCTTGCAGTGTTAGTCATGGTGCGACAGTGTTCCAAGTATAATGCATCGTGGATAGTCAGCGAAAGACAGTGCTGTGCTATATCTAGACGAGCTTTATTTACAGTTGTTGTGAGTGAGTATGGTTTTACGCCGCTTTTAGCAATATTCCAGCTATATCACGGCGGGGGACACCAGAAATGGCCTTCACACATTGTACCCATGTTGGGAATCGAACGCAGGTCATCGGCGTGACGACCGAGCGCTGTAACCACTAGGTTACCCCACCGCCATTCTCAGACAAGAAGGTATTACAGAATACTATGAACCTCTGGGACTTTCCAGTATATGACCCAGGGTTTTGATGAATCTTTTGGAGTCTTTTTCCTAGGTGTCTATGGCACTGGGGGTAGCCTAGTGGTCAAAGCGTCCGATCGTCACGCCGAAGACCCGGGTTCGATTCCCCTCATGTGTACAATGTGTGAAGCCCATTTCTGGTGCCCCCCCCGCCGTGATATTGCTGGAATATTGCTAAAAGCGACGTAAAAACAAACTCACTCACTCACTCACCCACACAATTGCTGATCTTTTCGTATCTTGAGATGTACTGTGAGATGCGAGGCAATAATTAGCTTTCGATACACACCTAGCAGTGAGTTTAGTTTTACGCCGCTTTTAGCAATATTCCAGCAATATCACGGCGGGGGGCACCAGAAATGGGCTTCACACATTGTACCCATGTGGGGAATCGAACCCGGGTCTTCGGCGTGACGAGCGAACGCCTTAACCACTAGGCTACCCCACCGCCCCTTTGTGTGGGGATCATTCTTACCCTGAATACTAGGGCTGTAACGATACATCGAACTATTGATGGATTGCAACTGTTGAGTCTTCGATAGCAATTAATCGATGGCAGAAACGAAAACCTATCGATGCATCGATAGTATGTGTGACTATCGATAGTTTAGTAATTGACTTCCGTTGACAAATGCGCAGCTCAAAATACAGGACGTTTGGGTGCAGACTTGCAGCTTCATTGAGTTTTAACTCAGTCTGTTTACTTGATCTGGGTTTCAAGTTTATTGTCAGTAATTAAAAGAGACTGAAACTACTTCAACTTGTTTTTGTTTTTTCATATAAACTATACATTCAAGTAGGAAATGACTTCAAATGAGACAATTCAAGGAGAGAAAAATCTATTGCAATAGTATTGCAATAGGTGGCCGCAATAGGCTATCGCTATCACAATAGTAAAATGAACAACATTACCACACTAAAATGCACCGACACACCACACTAAAATGCACCGACGCACCACACTAAAATGCACCGACGTACCACACTAAAATGCACCGACGCACCTCACTAAAATGCACCGACGATGCTCAGATATCATGGGTACATTTCAGTCTGACGGGGATATTTCGTATTTTATGGGTGGTGCGTTTCTAATGTTGTTCAGTATCCAGTAGACTATCGCTATAGTTGTTTCCCCCCTTCAATAGTCACCCCTACTGAATACTCAGCCTGACCCTAGTTTAGGAAACTTCAGCATTGATACAGTGGGGTCAATATTGCCATCCATGTCGTGACTGCTTTAAGCTACTTTTGTATCATATTGTCTGAGAAGTTGTACTGGAACTTTGTTTTGCACTGACAGAATGTTATCTTTGTATTGATTTAAGAAGTTAATTAATTTTAGAACGCAGTTGCTAATTATATCACATAGCTCTGTTGTCTGTCAGTTCCTCACTTAATACTTTTACGGGCTTATTTCCGATTAATTACTGCTTTCGTTTCAAGATGGTAACAACAGACGCAATAAAACATGTCTAATTTGTCGCATCTGACGGACCGCCTCCGTGGCGTAGTGGTTAGAGCGTCTGCCCGGAGAGCGGAAGGTCGCGGGTTCGATCCCCGACCGCGTCATACCAAAAGACGTTAAAATATGGTACTTGTTGGTCCCTGCCTGGCGCTCGGCATTAATGGGTACAACAAGGACTGGTCGGCTCGGAGTCAGTATAATGTGTCTGAGTGGGGTATTCATGCTTCACTGCGGCATGGTATCTCAGTGGGCTAGCACTATAAAACCAGCTTCAGTCTGGGCTAGTACCAGCTGCCGCACATACACATACACGTCATATGAGCGAAATATTCTGAAGTACGACGTTAAACCAAATTTCACCTCACCACCTCACCTCTGACGACTATCATCAATACTTCAAGACCACGTCAGAATTCCCACGGATGTTAAGTTATCAATAAACGTATATGTTAACTTAACATTCCTGAATCTAAGTAAATATAATATCAGCACGAACTGTTTAAATAGACTAAAACGATGTCAGTGCCATTTTCGCAAGGCAAGTATTCTTATGTCTCCGAGAACGGACACATCTGGTCGATTCCTGTTAAATAAACATTACCTTAAACTGCTACTACCTCTGTAATCACCACTTCGGCTGTAAATTATTTCAAATAATGTCCAAATATCCCCCTCCAACACGTTCCAGACAGATTCTACCCTACCTTGTACATCTCGTACAAACTTGGGACTTAGAAGAACGATGTGAATACCCTTTGAAGCGGCTGGAGACATCGCAATGTCGATTCTTGTGGATTGTTCACATATCAAAGCAATTAGCAAACCCACATCGACAAAATGAACGCCGTGTGATTAGATCTATGCTTATTTCGCACACACTCGGGGGAAATAAAGCGCGGTCTTCTTGTGATTGTAACTAAGACAAATCGCCTGGGTGGCGAGGACCGCCTCGTGTGAGGTTCCCATGGGACGGGGAGATGGGTAACAAGCGTTAGTATACAGCGTTAGTGGGGCTATATTGGGCTTATGGGAATCTCTATAGGCTGCTTATTGCCGAGGGCTTCTGAAGAAATATAAACCAGACTACAGGTAATGTGAGATGCGACCGTTGAGACGTCTTATATTTACCACTGAATCGGGAATGTGTCGACTGCTTTCTTTGAAGGATTTCTGACTGGCGTTTGAAGTGGAGTTCGGTTTTACATGATATACGAACGATATATTCCCTGTAACGCTTATGTATGTATGTATGTATGTATGTATGTATGTATGTATGTATGTATGTATGTATGTATGTATGTATGTATGTATGTATGTATGTATGTATGTATGTATGTATGTATGCATGCATGTATTCATTCATTCATTCATTCATTCATTCATTTGTTCATTCATTCATTCATTCTTTCTTTCTTTCTCTCCTTCCTTTCCTTCTTTCTCAGTTTCTGTCTTTATTTATTTAACCTTTCTGGGTTGGAATTGTTCTCTACCATCCATGTTTGTCATAAGAGGCGACTTACGTAGAATAATGCTCATGCAATTGATCATTGGATTGTCTGGTCCAGAATCAATTATTCACAGAGCGCCGTCATACAGCCGGAATATTGTCGAGTGGGGCTTAAACAACAAACAAACAAAGCAATGACCATTAGTGTCATGAAGTCAATTTCAAACAGGTCTCAACAACAACATGAGCGATTAAAGAAACACATTTTATAACAAAAAAGATTCCTCACAATTTACACTGCCATTTCAACAAATTAAAAAAAAGCCATTATTTTGGACACCGTTATCTTTCAGTGAGAAAATATCAGGAAACGTGTAAAAACCTGTTTCAATTTGCAGTTTTTTTTCTTTGTTTATGACCCAATTAACTCTCGGGATATATTGCCACCATCCAATTTTGATTTGGAAGAGGATGATGGCTGTAAACGTGGAAATAAACCTCACCAAACATGGTTAAAATTTATATTTTGTCTTAAACACATCGCTTTTTGAAAGATCTGCCTATCGACTAACCACAACCAATAGAAAAAATCCCCATTTTAAAACTAAATTAAATTTTTAATTCTGTTAACGGATAGACACAGTGGTTGTTCACGAAAATGCTCCCGAGTATTCGCGGTATAATGAGACAGTATCAAGTATAACGGTCTGGACTATTTTGATGCCATACTGTTACAGATATTTCACTGAATCTTCACAGACCAGAACAGAACCACTGAAAACACTGTCCTCGTTGATATTGATTACTTCTCTGAAAAGACTTATCGTAAGAGGCGACTAAAGGGATCGGATGGTCAGGCTCACTGACTTGGTTGACACATGTCATCGGTTCCCAATTGCGCAGATCGATGCTCATGCTGCTGATCACTGGATTGTCTGGTCCAGACTCGATTATTTACAGACCGCCGCCATATAACTGCAATATTGCTGAGTGTGGCGTAAAACTAAACTCACTCACTCACTTTGAAAAGAACTATGTTTTCAGTTCTACGAGTACCTTTCTGAGATTGAACATCGGATGCAATAGCTACGTACTGTTACGTTTTCAGTTAGATCTCATTATGAAACCGAAGTCAGGTTTATTTACAAGTTAATAAAATTAAATCAGCAACAGCATACATTTTATATATGAGATTCAGTGTTCTTTTAAACTGCATTTCAATATTTCGTAAAAGCTAAATTTTTCCCACAATCGTAAAGTTGTTTGTGCACTAAAGTACTGTCGGAAATCCTAGAAAAATGCTTTTTGACTTACATTTCAAATTCAGAGGTATTACAGTTACTAAAATAACAAAAATCACTTTAAGAAACATCTACTTAATGTAGATCGAGGGAATAAATTTTGAGACATGCCCTAAAATGCGTTTTTACTGATGAAAATACCAAAAACTTAGAAAAATAAGGGGTAGTGGGACGTTATTTGATACAAACATTAACTGCTTGTGTTACGTCATCAGCATGCACGGTATCGACAGGTGAAATTGACACCTGAGCACACGCTCGGGCGAGGGGTCATCTCAATAGATGTTTTCTTCAAAACGTTGAATATATGTGTACGTATACGTATTGGTTATGTAAGGGATCATTTGTGTATGTGTGTTTGTTGTGAAATAAACATACGAATTACTGTACATTGGAAAGAATCCTATCACTGGTGTTATTTTATCGATTGATTGTAGAAATGTGCAACGTTTTAATAAATGTTTTGCATGTCAACAGTATATTTAGTTGCAAAAATAAGGATGTAATTCGGTCAGTTTAATCTAGTTGTGAACATTGGCCAAAACTTTAACGAAGTCACTGGTGTAGCTTCTTTAGAATATAAATTTATATATATTCTTCTTCTCATAAAGTTTGTAGACCGCCCGTCTAAGTACATGTACACCCTTGTCAAAGTTGTCAAGGATGGTTTTACGTCCCGGTTTGGCCTTTGAGGCGGTCCCTGTCTTGTCTGATTTGTTTACAATATTGTAAACTTGTTGGTAAGACATACCAACGGCTCTACAAGTTCTGTAATAAACCATTTCTATACTAATGAAAGGTTTACCTCTGTCTTTTTCAAACACAAAAACTTATAAACCTTTGTAACAATCGTCTGCAAATAGTTGGCCATAGTGGACGCTGTGATAAAGATGTGCATGCATGACGGGAAACTTATTTATCAAGACTTAACATTTTTATTAATATTTCTTCAATAAAGAAACGATAATTAAGTAAAGTAACACAAACATTCAACATTTATTTGTTTAAGAAAAACGTTAATTTACATTTTTACACCACCTGTATTATTAGCATAAATGTAAAAACAATTTCAGATTTCTGTTGTTGAACTGAAAAAATCATAAGTTGTTGTTTTGGTACCAAATTCTCTCCTGTAAACTGCCCTTAAAATGCATGGGAATGTTAAATCAACCGAAATAAAAATTAGGTACACTATAGGTGAGTTGATATATTGACAACATAATACATTTATCACCTTTCTAAAGATATTAAGGCTAAAAAGCATTTTTCTAGCATTTCCGACAGTACTTTTTTTTTTTTTAACTGACTAGTTCTAGGATTTTGTATTACAAACCTGTATTGCTAAAATCATTGCAACTCTTTTCAAACAAGTGACAGTGGGGTACCCTAGTGGTTTAAGCGTTCGCTCGTCACGCCAAAGGCCCCGCTTCGATTTTCCACATGGGTACAATGTGTCAAGCCCATTTTTGGTGCTCCTGCCGTGATATTGCTGGAATATTAGTAAGAGCGGCGTTAAACCCAACTCACTCATTCACTTTACAGTTCATTTCAATATTTTAAATATGTAAAGAATTTTTTTCACACAATCGTAATGTCATGCGAGTACTGCCTGACCAAAATCTACGCTTTTGTATTGCAAATCTGGATTATTGAATTCATTGCAGTTATTTTCAAATGCGTTCGCTTGTCACGCCGAAGGCCCGGGTTCGATTCCCCACATGTGTACAATGTGGGAAGCCATTTCTGGTGTCTCCCGCCGTGATATTGCTGGAATATTGCTAAAAGCTGCGTAAAACCCAACTCACTCACTCACTTTACATCTCATGCCATTTTTCTTTTGTAAACGCTACTTTTTTCCAAACAAGCGTAATACCATTTTTGCACTGATTGACCATATCTATGCTTAGGTATTGCAAATCTGTATTACTAAATCCATTTCAGTTCTTTTCAAACATTTGTTTCAGGCCATCAGATATCGCATAATGAAATCTACACAGTGAAATGTACACGCTAACAAAGACATCAGTCACGTGCAAAGTCACATTTCATGTCAAAGGCAAGAAGCGTGCTTGCTTTACCGCGCCGTCCCGGGGCCAACACTGTTGAACATCGCATATACTGAAGCCATTGTGTCGGTCTCACGGGATGTCGATTGCGGTCAACAGACACTTGATGGGCGCAATGTCGTCTCCAGATTCAATTACGTAATGTACAACCCCTGTCAGTCATATCAACAGGATGTCGATTTCAGTGCCGCTCCAGCAATGCGATCAGGCTACGCATATAAATCATTATTTGTGGGTTTTGACTTCGACATAAATATACTATCGCTTGATCATATTGCTGTCATAAGAAATATTGTCGATGTCATGAAAACTATATACCTACCATTAAGTCTGGTATAAGCACTGGAGGAAATGGATATTTGTTATGTGTTTCAGCTGTTTTCATTGATAAACAGCCGTCGTCTGATGTTGCCACAATCTCGTGGTTTATGCTTGGTGTATAAAACCTATTTCCAAACTAAATTCCCAGATTTGCCAGACTGTAAACCGATAGAGAAGTGTTCTGCTATCCAATGGGAAGGAACCAGTTCCCAGTGATTGCTAGCTCGTTGTATAACGCCGCACTCGACAATACTCCACCTATATGACGGCTGTGTGTACATAATCGAGTCTGGACCAGACAATTCAGTGATCAACAGCATGCGCATCGATCTACGCAATTGGGATACGATTACATGTGTCAGCGAACCTGACCACTCGATCCCGTTGGTCGCCTCTTACGACAAGCATGGTTGCTGAAGATCAATTTTAACCTAGATCTTCACGGGAAAGTCCTTAATGCGATAGGAACCCGGAAATCATCTGGACAGTTTATTGTGCATGAAAACGCTTCCTGGTGCGTAACGTATTAGTATCTCAAAACGAAACAAATACATCCTGTCATTCTTCTTGTTTAAATGGCTTCTGAATAAATGGATTGATTAAAGTTGATTAATATCAAACAGACCATTTTCGATTTTTATCAAATGTTCTTTCAGGTAACATGGCCTGTGGCCTCTTTCCGATATGTACACATGGTGCCCATATCAGTTCCTCATTTCTACAAATTATTTGTTTACTCATCAATTATAATATATAAACGTCAACACATTTAGGAAAACGAGTCACAAAATCATTATCTTCCAAGGAGGCATATCATGACATATCATGAAACGTCAAAAGAATAACGATTTTCATTTGTGCAAATATCACGTCAACAATGGATTTACTTTTCCACGTGCTGTCATTAAAGCCCTTCGCAAAATTGGTGTTTAGACTTTTTATGAGTACAGTATTGCCTGCTTCTCACTGTTGTTGAGAGCTTTCTCGCATTGACAGACAAGGATTTCCCAGGAGATGAGAGTTTCCTTAATTAAAGAAGATGTCGCACTTTCCCAAATGTGTTACGCTGAAACGACACAATACTGTCTGTAACCTTTTTCGTCAAGTCAAGAATATATTATTCCGGGATTGTCTGGTTCAGACCATTTTTTACAGACCGATGCCATATATATATATTTATACCGGACAATGGACAAAATAAGTTAGGGATATTGGTACTTTTATTATTGATATTTTATCAGTGTGTCAATGAATAATAGATCATTATTCATAATTTCAAAATTTACACATATCCCTAACTATTTTTGTCCAGTATATATATATATACCAGTTGTTCACTGGTCCCGAGGGGGACATGGGCTGATGTACCCCCGATGTTTGTTTATGTTCCCTGAGCCCGAAACAAACATCAAGGGCACATCAACCCATGGGCCCGAGGGACCAGTGATCAACGTATAAATTTATCTTACCAAACACCTCAATGGTAATTTTGAACTGTTTGAAGCACGGGTATCAGATCATAGTATTGAGTACCAGACAAGAGAAGAAAAAACAAATTTCGAGTTGTCTCCCTTCCTTCGATTTACATTCGCAAAACATCGGTAAGTTCCGTACATCATAGGCGATTCAATGCTATTTGAGATAAAGAATTACTACAACGAAGTACCAAATGAGTTCAGCATTCCCAGCAGGGTACATAGAAAATGTTACTCGCTTGTAAGTGGGGTACATTGAAAAGCCAATCAGAAACGACATTTATGTGTGAGGCAAGATAAATAACATTATTTTTCACAATTCCCAAAAGCATGTGTTTTGAGATTTGCGGGTAACATTTAAATATTATTATAAATACGCGAATGTATCGTCAGTATTTATGCAGTCTGTTCCACATCACCTTGGTGGGCATCAAATTGTCAATACAAATGGCAAGTCTGCAATTTCCAAATTAGCCAATGGTCGACGGTTCAGGTGGATCAGATGTCTGAACTCTCAGACAGTCATCATACAGAAATGAACCGTTTGCCTATGTTCTTACACCCGTGAAGATTAGAGCTAAAGCTGGTCTTAGGAACCTGTGCTCGCTGACTTGGTTGACACGTGTCATCATATCCTACCTCAGCAGATTGAAGCTCACCATTCCAATCACCAAATTGTCTGGTTCAGACTGCATTATTTAAAGACAGCGGCATACAACATCCCGTCACATATTATCATCAGTATCAAGATCTATTTTAACCTGTCTGGCTATCGCTATTTTGTGTTTGTGTGGCGAATATCTTTAACTTAATAACAACAGGCCAGATTCTATTTGAACAGAAATCACTAAAACTTAGAACTCACTGATATCGATTTTCTTCAGAAAGAAAGAAAAAATGTTTTCGGTTGAACGGGAATGTTCCCTGATTTATTGAAACAGCAACTCACTATTTCTTTCTTTACGTAATACGATATTTCCTTTAACAACTGAAAAAAATTAGATTAAATTCGTAAGTGCACTGGACGGCCTAGAATTGAGCTTGTTTTGTGTCTGAATATATTTCTGTCAACAGCAGCGTATCTGTTCCTTGCAACATTCTACATAAGCTGGTTCCGGCTCTCTTAGCGCACGCCGACATGGCAAGAAAAAGAGATACGCGAGACGGGGCCCCGCTCCTACATACCAGGCGGTTTCAGGTACTACGGAAGTCATATGACGTCATCTGTTGTACCATGACGTCATTGCATTATGATATGACGTCATGTTTTGAACAGTCGTAATATTAGTTACACCGTGTTTTGAAAGGGTGTACGATAAGCAGGGTGTGGTTCGTACACCCTGGTAAATCCGCCTACATGGTTTCGTATGCTTTGGCTATTGACCAATCAGAATTCGACAAATTTATCTTAAGGGTAATAAGTTAATATGTAAGGAGTTGCCTCCAAGCTCTGTTCTTGGAAATGAAAAAGTTGATATATTTGCAAAAGCTGCATAAGATTTTGATGCATCAGATCAGGATGAGACAATATCACCTTCTGCTGAATTATGCACCGTCAGTAAGATTCATGCTCTAACAAAATGGCAACAGAGGGGCCTCATCCTTAAAAGGACGCCATCTGGCATTCAGCCTTTTCTTTCTAAATTACTAGTATCTCGCAACAATCTTAAAGAAGAGGTTCTTTTAACCAGACCTCGTCTTGGGCAATGTGTTCTTGGTGCACATCTCAGTATTATCAATAAAGATATTTCAGCAAATTGTAAAGTGTCTAATCAGCTAGATAATGTGGCTCATTATTTACTGCATTACCAAAGATATGTAAATCAACTTAACCCCCTGGATGCCCAGTTTTTTTTCAGGCGCACATTTCCATCGGTTTGATAAAGTGAACGTTGTGCGAGAATTGCGCTCGCGTGGTCCTGGATCTACGTACGGCTATAAACTTTCACAGAAATGTAGAATATTAAATTTCCTATCCGTTGGTATAAATATAAGTGCAACTACCTCGGCGGTTTGAGAAATAGACCTTGCTATATATTGTCCAAACTTTTGTTATGCGTTGCAAAACAGCAAATATTACCGCTTTTTATCGCGCACCGATTAAAGCTACGACTTTTTTAATTTGACGTCTTTACGGAAAGTGTGAGCGAAGAAAATACTGCTTAATATCTGAACGACATAAGTGTATATGAATTGGGTTTACGTGCTTATGCATAACGTTATACGCTTAACATTAAAAATGACTCGCAATAAATGTCAAAAATGGATTTTCTTCTATGACGTCAAACGACGACAGAGAGGTCATACACCTATAATGATAAGGGGGCATAACTCCGTTATGCTGAACACTAGGTCAATGTACCTCAGACCACATGGAGAAAATTTGTTGTGGATACGGACGCTATATTTTCGTTATTTTTTGTTCACGGTGAACCAAACTATTCCAATTCAAAGTTCCCCAATGTGAGCGGATACGCTATGGTAGTTTCACAATTTATAAAAACAGATGACAATGTACTACATGTGAAAGCACGAAACAGCGATTCGGATTGCCCTATCCGGTATATTAACTTAGTTCTTAGATTCCCATATTCTCCTGTTTGTGTAGATGTATTTTGACTAATTTTGCATCTTTATTACCAGAGTACTAGCCATATCTTCAAATGTAATGGAATTGCTGAAAATAATACATTTTAGTTGACGTCATTGCCTGTTTTATGCATTTTTCGACGTTGGAAAAACACGACATTAGTATGCTGATAAGTACATATATCACCTAAGTTCGGTTAATTGTGTGAAAGGTCTCGGCTTCTATGTCAGAATTAAACACTCTTTAGACAAAACATAAAATGACTGATTTTTCCATTTAAATAGTGTCCTGAATATATCAACAATTAGACGGTCTGACTGTGTATGTTATTGTGAGCAACACGCGCACCTGTTTGGCATCAATTTAACGTAAATGAAAAATAATATTTCACAACACCCGAATATTTTGTTTAGGATAAGAATTTTCTTTGTTTATGATTATGTAGCTATTTTTCTTCATAAGTATGTAATGGAAGATGCAAAAAGATAGCTTTTATTTAAGGAACTATATATACTGAGTCAAAAAAGAAACTTCACATTCTTTCTTCAGGGCACTATAAAAGAACAAGAGATGGTAAGATGGTTAAATTGTTATTATTTCATTGCTGAGATCTGTGTGATGTACTCGATACACTGACAGTGCCATAATCAGTTCCATTAGGCTACACCGCCGTTCCAAAACATGGGTATACAGAATGTCAAGTCACAAGAATAAAAATGCGAAATTTCGCTGTTCAATATCGTGTATGGCCGCCCCGCGCATTCACCACTGCCAAACACCGTCTCCTCATCGACTGCCTGATGCTTGTGAACACGTGGTTGAGGATTCTGCGCCATTGCTCTTGCAAGGCAGCGCCAAGTTCCTGCAAATTCTGAGGATGGTTCCTAAGACCACGAAGCCTTCTCCCAAGTGCATCCCAAACGTGCTCTATTGGATTAAGGTCAGGGGACCTCAATGGCCAGTCCATGACGTTGATTCCAGCGTTGTGAAGGAAATTTCGTGTCAACATCGCGGTATGCGGCCGAGCATTATCATGCTGGAACTGTAGACCTGGGCCATGAGCCGCCATGAAAGGAACGAGTTCATGGGGTGAGCACCTGGTCGCGGTAAGCAGCAGCTGTGAGGTTTCCACGGATGACCAGAATTCGGGAACGATTGTTCCCACAGAAAGCACCCCACACCATGCAACTTCCGCCCCCGAATCTGTCGACTTCCTGTACACAACATTGGGCATACCGTTCACGACGTCGTCTCCAGACTCTATGCCTGCCGTCCGCGAATCTGAGGGTAAACCTGGATTCATCGCTAA